CTTAGAAAGTACATATAACTCGGAAAAAGTCACATTGGTACTTGCCGTTGGTAGGTTTCGAACCCGCACCCTCATGCATGAGAAGTGGGCGTCTTAAACCTCCGGGCCACCACGACACGACGATAAAAAGTACCCTATTATTTAATCCGGTCTTCTAACTTTACGTCTGTAAAAATTCAAAGCAATCGGTTTAGTAGTTATGGCGTGAAAGCGGAACAAACAAACAAACTCAGTTTCCGATTTATAATATTAGTAAAGATATTTGATGGGCGACGTTTGCCCACTATCTCCCCTAGTGGTAAGCATTCAGGGTGCTGGTGGGGTTGCCGCGGTACTGCAGTGCCTCTGGCATGTTCGCAGAGACAGGTGTTGATGGGTTTCATGCCATACGAAACGTTGTGCCTCAATTATGCATAGGGTGCGTGTCAGCCCCAATAGCATCCCGAAGACTAGACAGACAGACAAATTGGACAGCCCCATTTTTTTTTAAGGGGTGAAAATCATCGAATGACTGCTCCCGCCTGGGTGAGGCGGGAGGGAGTGTCAGACTCTTACTGACTAAAAACCACCCCGTTCGTACTCCTGCACTTAGAGCCGGAGCCCCGGTTACCCGTTAGGTTCTCCGCGACTATCCAATAGTACGAACAATAGTACGAAGGCATATCCAATGCCTTTGGGCTTTCATTCATGCTATTGTGGCATAAGATAGTCATGTTTAATTATATCTCGTGTAACGCGATAAACCGATTTAGGTTTGTGTCGGACGCACGCGCGCTACTCTAGTGGCAACACGCCACGTCTGTATTTCCCTCCCCCCGCTTCCCCGCCACTGACCTTTATGGATCACATTTATGTATCACACAAAGAGTTGCTCCGTGCGGCAATCGAACCCGCGACACGTTGCGCGGCAGCCAGTTGCCCAGCCACCGCGCTAACCGTACAGTCAAAGAGTGATACCACGGCCGAGCAGAAAACCGACGTGAAGCAACGCTTGCGTTGTGTTTCGTCGTATGAGTGAGATTACCAGAGGCCCAATCCCCAACAATCCTCAACTGTAACGCCTCTAGGGTTCCGGGTGTCCATGGGCGACGCCGATTGCTTACCATCACGTAATCCGTCCACTCATTTGCCTCCTATGAAAAATTGCCTCCAAAAACAAACAGTCATTAATGTTGTTTTTTATTACATTTTTAAACTTAAAAAAAAAACAATTAATTTTCAGGTGAATTGGACAACGGCAGAGGCAGCGCACGTCTGAACATGTTCCGACATCTGCACGAGGTTAAGAGTGGGAGGACGTCGTCTCTTAGCCACGAGATACTCGGGTTCGATGCTCAGGTGAGCTGCTATAACAACTATGGTGATGGACTGTATTAGGATGGGAATGGAATGGAATGGAATGGAACGGAACGGAACGGAACGGAACGGAACGGAACGGAACGGAACGAAACGGAACGGAACGGAACGGAACGGAACGAAACGGAACGGAACGGAACGGAATGCAATGCAATGGAATGGAATGGATTAGAATGGAATGGAATGCAATGCAATGGAATGAAATGAAATGAACCTAGCTTCAATGACGGACTGACTGACAGACTATTATTTATTTTGTATTTGTTGACGTTTGAAAAGTACCAAATTATGGTTTAATCGAAATAAATGCTTTGACTTTGACTTTGATATTTTCCCTACAGGGTAACGTAGTCAACTACGGGTGTTCAGAGCTGATGACGGCAGAGAGGATCGGCGAGAGGAGTGCGAAGTTGGTGTCGTTCCTGGACCTGGCGGGACACAGCAAGTACCAGCGCACCACGCTGCACGGACTCACCGGGTACTCGCCGCACTACGTCATGCTCGTGGTCAGTTGGACATATACCTCTACAATACTAGCTTAATACGCTCAGTTTCACCCACTCTGCTCGGCGCCTATTGATCAAAGCGTGATAGTATACAGCCTGTAATCGCCTTCCTCGATAAATGCAAGCCGGGCTTGGGGTCTCTGGTTCGATTAGCGTGTCGGGCAAAGTAATAGTGGGTTTTTTAAAAATTCTCACTAGTAGCACGGAGTTTGGAATTGTGCCCGGTATATGGCTATGCTCACCCCCTATTATATGCGACCCGTAACATAAATAGTGAAAAGTGAGCGTTACATTGTACAGTGGCATTAAGTGCCGTAATATGCACCTCTGCCTACCACTTCGGGGATAAAAAGGCGTGTTGTTATGTTATGTTATGTTATATTAATATCATAAAATAAATTAAACAAATATCTTTTATATGTAGAGGTAGAGAATGCAATATCACACATAACATCACGCCTTTTATCCCCGGGGTAGGGGTAGGCAGAGGTGCACACAGAAGTAACACCCACTTTTCACTATTTATGTTACGAGTCGCATTTAATAGGGGGTGAGCCTATTGCCATATACCGGGCACAATTCCAGATTCCGTGCTAGTACTGAGATTTTTTTTTTAAAACCTATAATACTTTGCCCTACCCGGGAATCGAACCCGAGACCCCTTGCCCGGCAGTGGCACTCGCGACCACTCGGTCAACGAGACAGTCAAATATTGTATTAATTTCGAAATCACAAGAGCTACTGCACATACGCGTTCCGCCAACGCACACAATGTACGCGCGCTCCGCTATAATAATGTAATCAATAACCTCAAGTCCCACTATAGGGTAGACGACAAATTTTTATTTTAATGTCCGTCTGGTAGATTATTTTAAAACATTACACACGTATTTTTTATTTTCTTACAGAAACGAATACTTTCCACGATATATTGATTTGAAATGTCACGTGACGTCACTTCTATGTACATTTTATACGTAGAAATGACGTTTTAGTCCCCACTCCCAAACTTTGATTCGTTTTATCTAGGTATTGTTTTATTATACGACAAAATAAAAAAATACGTGTCTAATATTTTTTAAATACCTAACTTACGGACTAATTAGATTTTTAATTTTCATACCCTGTCGTCATCCCAATTAAAGAAGTTTCGTCAATCAGATTCTTTTATTACGCATCAATAGGAACACACGCTAAGGGATAGTTATGAACAGCATCGCACGATAAACGTTTTTCATTCTTTCTTTACATAACATAACATCACGCTTTTTATCTTCGAAGGGGTAGGCAGAGGTGTACATTATGCCACTGTACAATGTAACACCCACTTTTTACTATTTATGTTATGAGTCCCATGTAATAAGAGGTGAGCCTATTGCCATATACCGGGCACAATTCCAGACTCCGTGCTACTACTGTGATTTTTTTGGAAAACCCAGTAATACTTCGACCGTCTTTCTTTACTTTAAAAAATTAATGTGTATCTTCCTGTCCCCAGATCTCTGCCACGGCCGGTATAACTCCGATAACGGAGGAACATATAACCCTACTGTCTGCGCTGGACGTGCCATTCTTCGCCGTCATCAGCAAGTGCGAGCTCGCCGCCGCGGCCGTGCCCGCGCTCACGGCCAGGCTCGCCGGCCTGCTCGCCGCCTCCAACAAGGTGCCTCGCTACATTCTATATGGGATAGGCTAACGAGCTGACGTATCACCTGATGGTAAGCAATCGGCATGCATGGATGCACGGAACACTAGAGGCGTTACAAGTGCGTTGCCGGTCTTTTGGGGATTAAGAGTTAGAGGATTGTTGAGGATTCGGGAGACTAGGGAGAAGGAGATTTGTTGGGGATGCCATGATTGGGGAGATGGGGAAGGGGTAGTTGAGCCTCCGGTAACCTCACTCACAGACGAATCACAACGCAAGCGTTGCTTCCCGTCGGTTTTCTGTGACGCCGTGGTATCACTCCGGTCGAGCCGGCCTAGTCGCTCGTGCCGAAGCAGGGCTCTCCATGCCGTAAAACCGACGTGAACCAACGCTTGCGTTGTGTTTCCTCATGTGAGTGAGGTTACCGGAGTCCCAATTACCTCCCCCCCTTCCCCAATCACTGAATCCCCAACGATCCTCAAACTCCTAATCCCCAAAAGGCTGGTAACGCACTTGTAACGCCTCTAGTGTTCCAGGTGTCCATGGGCGACGCCGATTGCTTACCATCAGGTGATCCGTCTGCTTGTTTACCGGCTTATGCTATAAAAAAAACAAAGAATCTCTTTTTTATGGAGTTTGTTAACGATGAATTCTGTTCCAGAAACCCATACTGATCACTGATGAAAACCTAGCCAGGAACTGCGTGGCTCCTCAGAAGTTGATCATTGATGCACTGGATCATACCAAGGAAGAAACGTAAGTATTATATATCACTAGCTTTTACCCGCGGCTTCGCTCGCGTAAAAAAAGGATAAAAAGTAGCCTTGTCCCCCACTCTTTAACTTTACTACGCGGAAATTGCACACAAATATATAACACGCGTCTCACGTAGTAATTTGACGAGGAACTCGACTAGTTTCAAGCCATGCTAGAGGCTCATATTCATGAGCAGCATTTCGCGACCCGCGACGCGGCGACTGTCGCTGCTACTGGCTACTCGAGTCTGCGCCCAGCGCGCCCTCTGCCGGTCCCCACGCACTTTCTTCCCGTCGAACTACAAAAACATCAAGAAATAAAAAATAAATAAAAGACTGCCTCGTTGGCCGAGTGGTCGTAAGTGCGACTGCCGGGCAAGGGGTCTCGGGTTCAATTCCCGGGTCGGGCAAAGTATTACTGGGTTTTTAAAAATCTCAATAGTAGTACGGCATCTGGAAATGTGCCCGGTATATGGCAATAGGCTCAACCCCTATTACATGGGACTCGTAACATAAATAGTGAAAAGTGGGTGTTACATTGTACAGTGGCATTAAGTGCCGTAATGTGCACCTCTGCTTACCCCTTCGGGGATAAAAAAGGCGTGATGTTATGTTATGTTATGTTAAAGTTTATGAGTATTGACTAAGATTTCGGCTGGTTTTTAAGAATTTCTCATAGTTTCAACTATTTACAATTTCGGTCCAAGCATTGTTGAAAGAGTATCCGTCTTACGAAAAATGATTTAGATGTCGCTTAGATGATATCAAGGTAGCTATGTAAAATAAAATTTCCTAACAAATAAAATCAGTCTACTTACTGAACAACACATAACGAACACATAAAAGTACATAAAAGAACATTGCACTGCGTCCATACATTGTTGGCCCTGGAGCCAAGAGTATCGGATAATAATGTATTGTATTCTCTATACTTTTTAGACTCCTAGAAGATCTTGTTTTTATAGTGGACTAGCTGCAGAAAGATATATTTCAAAAAAAGTATCGGATTTTGAGGTTATAATCTAACCATAACCATTTATTGACTTGTATTGGGATTGTATTGGCTATTTATAATTGAAACTGACTACTTATAATTAATTGACTATTTACAATTGAAATGGACTATTGACTATGTATGTTCTTTGTGTGTTTGTGTAATTTATTATTTTGATTATTTGATGTATGAACGAATTGATTATTATTTTTATTATTTTTAATTTATGATACTTGCTATAGAGACAATTTTTAATTAATTTATTTATAAAATTTTGAACCTGAATTCGTTTTTAATGTAATTTTATGGATTTTATTATCTGAAATAAATTGGTATTATTATTATTATAACAACTAATATTTGAACGAATGTTCAATGTTTGAATGATTGTATAGATAGAAGTAAAGAATATAATAATCAGTATGATATTATTATTACTACCTATTACGACGATTATTATTTATTACATCATGCGAAGGCATTTGACATTAGTCAAAGATGGCGATTTAATGTTATTAATCGCGTTAAATTCTATTAAAAGTACATTTTATAACACAGCTAGTCCGTGATACAGAAGTATTTGCAAATTATATTATAAAATAGGGGATTAATTATCGTATATAGTATTCTGATACTCTTTATTACACAGGGCCATTTTGGTCATTGTCCTTTAAGTACGAATAAAATGCATCACTTAAAACCTATTTCATCATTGGTCGTCATAATTAAAATTATTTCTGTTAAAATGTAAACTATTTGGTAATAATCATTTGTATCATAGTATTTATCGACATTGTTTACAAATTGACACATCTCTATATCGATTCGAGGAAATGAAGTTTTGATTTGGTACTCGGGACTCTCGTTGTGAACGTAATACATTGCGCGATCGTTTATGTAGTGCAAAATGGTAAACATCTATTGCAAGCAATGTATTACTTTTCTCCTGCTTGCGATAATGTCGTTTTTGTTAACAAACGTCATAATATTAACATTATAATTACTAATATCACAAGTATATTAATGTTTTTGGAGTCACTGGTGGAAAGAAATCCCTTCTCGTGCTGCATTGCACACCTGGCTTCTTTCCCGACACATTACAATAGTCCAAGACGGCATAATTTAATATTATTTGCGGAGTTTCGTACGCTGTCACAACAAGATCGCGTTTGATCAGTTTTTTTTATGGCATAAGCCGGTAATCGACCAGACGGATCACTTGATGGTAAGCAAGCGTCGCCTATGGACACCTGCAACACCAGAGGCGTTACAAGTGCGTTACCGGCCTTTTGGGGGTTAGGAGTTTCAAGATTGTTGGGGATTCAGGGATTGGGAAGATTGGGGAAGGGAAGGGTAATTGGGCCTCCGGTAACCTCACTCACACGACGTAACACGACGCAATTGTTGCTTCACGTCGGTTTTCTGTAAGGGCGTGGTATCACTCCGGTTGAGCCGTCCCATTCGTGCCGAAGTATGGCTCTCCCACACTTAGTTAGTTTAGTTTTTGACACTTAGTTTTTGACATTTCGGTTGATTGTGAGCATTTAATGATATTTTCTGATTGACATTTCATATGGTTTAGGTTCTGACATGAAGTTGAATTTTATTTTTTTTATTATATTTCTTTTAATGTTGATATGGATTTGAATGTGTATTTGTATTATTGATATAATGGTCTTATAACAAACTAGCTTCTGCCCGCGACTTCGTACGCGCAATCCCGATATTTCCCGTACCCGTTCTTGATTTTCATTTAAAAGTAAAAAATAAGTATTGGGTAAAAAGCATCCTATGTCCGTCTTCTGGTTTTAAGCTACATCCTCACCAATTGTCATCCAAATCGATATAGCCGTTCTTGAGTTATAAATAGTGTAACAAACACGACTTTCTTTTATATATATAGATTAATTAATTGCTGTCATTGGTGTAACCGTTGTAATTAATATTATTTATATAATAATAAATAAATAAATTTACTCGTGATCGCGGCGCGCGTACCTCACCCACAAGGCCCTTCTAATCTTCTTTATATGTTCTGTTGACAATACCTCTTTCGCTTCATCAACAGTCGTCAGTCTTGTCATGCATACTCGTCGGTTAAGGGTACTTTTAGTTTGGGATGGCTCCATAGTTCAGTGTCATTGTTCCAGCGCGGAGTGCGGCCAGGTCCCCGTGTTCCCGGTGAGCAGCGTGCGCGGGCTGGGGCTGAGCGCGCTGCACGCCTACCTGCTGGCACTGCGGCACCCGCACCCCGCCGCCAGCCACGGGGACGTACGTCACTGTCTTATCTACTATTTCTAAATATAATCTCACCAAAAACATTCTGTAAAAAACTAGCCAAGTCTCGATGGAGCTGCTGGTTTATATCTGAAAAGTAATGAAATATAACAAAGTCGTGCCAAGTCTAAGGTCCCTTATTGCGATTTGAAAGAAAGTAGAAAGAAAGAAAAACCATTTATTCTTGCGCAAAAGACACATAACATAATTAAAAATAAAAATAAAATAAAATAAAAGCTAAACAAATTAAAATGAAGTGAAGTCCACAGATTTATTATTTTACTGAAATCATAGAATACATAATATCTAATATTATCTGTGGACCATAGACAAGGAACACCTCACTTCATATCTATTGACTAGTTGCATGCATTTCATAAAATTGGTTAAGGAGTATATTATTATATAAAAGTTTAATTATAATAAAACAATACGAATCAATAGGCATGGCGACTATTTTTTAATTTTTTGTCCGTCTTTTAGATATTTTAAAAATCTTCGATACGTATTTTTTCTTTTTTCTCGTATCCAAAAAAACATGTAGATATTTTGAGTTAAAATGACGCGTGACGTCACACTTAGTTACGATTTCTCCGTAAGTGTGACGTCAACACCCCCCACTCCCTAACTTTAATGCGGAATAACTACGTATTCTTCTGTTAATTTGATAAAACAAAAAATACGTGTCTGATATTTTCGTGCGATCTTAATGACGGACTAATTACTTTTTTGTTTTTTTAGCCTGTCGACACGCCTATTATAGGTACTTGATGCTAGTGTAACCCATTGCCCTAATATTGTGCTTCGATTTTGTTCGAGATTTCGTTATTATTATAGTTAATGTTGTGTGACTTTGCCGTTGAAGGGTACAGAAGGGTACAAAACCAGGTGCTCCATGACGCCATTGCACAAATCTGTCGCCAGAACCGCTAGCTACCCATTGGCGATGGAAAATTGCCACATGGAAAACGTGGTGTTACCTTCAACGACCAAGTCACACAACATGAACTATAATTTTGCTTTCGCTTAACTTCGGAACAAATTGACCTGTGGACTTGGAATTTTGGATTTTAAGTATGTAATTATAGGTTACTGGATGGTGAAAATTTCTGCGTTCTGGTCTCATCCAGAGGTTCTCAAATAGGGGCCTGAAAATGCGGCGAAATGGTTCCAGCAAAGGATGGTACGGCAGTGTTTGCTTCGCGTTTGACTTGGCAGGGGCATTGCCGTGCCCCCAGATAAAAAAACAGTAATAATTTGCCCGATCCGAGAATCGAACCCTAGCCCGACAGTCGCACTTGCGACCGAGTGGCCAAGAGTGGTGTTATGTATCAAAGTGAAGAATTAAAATAAATTGTGTTTCAGGAAACGTGCGAGTTTCAAATAGACGAGATATTCCACGTGGGAGACAACTCTGGCCCCGTCGTGGGGGGACTCTTAGCTAAGGGACAGCTGAGGGAGGGAGATAATGTCATTATAGGTAAGTAGGAGATTATGATTTTATTGTCGTTACTTTTCTTTTTCGATCTCTTCGACTGGATTTTTGTGTTACATTGTTCTCACACAATCGAACCAACAAAACTATGTAACTAGGGAATTGGGATGATGACAGGGTATGAAAATTAAAAATATAATTAGTCCGTAACTTAGGTAACGAAAAAATATTAGACACGTATTTTTTTATTTTGTCGTATAATAAAACAATACTTGATAAAACGAATCAAAGTTTAAGATTGGGGGCTGAAACGTCATTTCTACGTATAAAATGTACATAGAAGTGACGTCACGCGACATTTCAAATCAATATATCGTCGAAAGCATTCGTTTCTGAAAGAAAATAAAAAATACGTGTCTAATGATTTAAAATAATCTACCAGACGGACATTAAAATAAAAATTAGGCTTTTAGCCTATTGTATTGTGAACCTGATTGAAAAAGAGTAACCTATGGAGTTTCTTGCTCGTTCTTCTCCATAGGAATCTACACCTTGGAATGAGCAAATAGCTTCACTTTGCCCTCATTAGTTCGTGGTAGAGAAACAAGGTGGCTTACTCACGATACTGTCTTGACAAGGGTTGCCACCTTTTTTTTGGTATTTATAGTACATTGTCGATTATAGGTAAGAAAAAAAGTACACAGTACAAAAATAAAGTACAATTTATTCTTATTTAGTATTATATTTAAAAAAATATTTTTATTGCTTTTTGCAGTTTGTATTAAACTGTCAAACACCAAGCGGTCACCGGTGACCGCAACCTATTGATCTATAATTGTGTCTACAAAACCGGTACTCGACGAGTTAAATTAGTATCTTTACTAAACAATTGCATCTTTACTAGAAATTGTCTAAGTGGCGCTGGCCAGTGGCGAAATCGATTCAACAGAAATCGATAAATATCGATATCGAATCGATAAGTTTACCGAAAAATACTTACGACTTTAATAGAAATAAAGTTTGCAAAAATAAAGTATTTTCGTGTACTTTATTATTCTTATAAAGTGTAGAGTACAATCACCTTAAATAACGTACAATACTTTATTATAAAGTACGAGTGGCAACCCTAGTCTTGACTGATTATAAACTGCTTTGCTTAGAAGCCTCAGGCCTTTAGTATAATGATCTACCTTCGGAATTGTTAAGTATGTAGGTAAATCAATGAAATTCTATTATTATTATTACTTTGTGTGATATTTTTTGTCTCTTTTTGCACCTATTGTAAACTATCTGTGCTCACGACGTCGTCCGCGTGGAATAGTGATTCATAGCCCCTCCCCCGTAGGTGATAGCGTGATAATATATAGCCTATGTGTTGACCCGACCTGTTAGTAATATTCATGCAAAATTTGAAGTAAATCCATGCAGTACTTTTTGAATTTAGCCCGGACATACATACAGACAAACAGACAAACATTCTAAAAATCATATTTTTGCTTTCGGTATCGACTGTGGATCACACCCCAAGCAATCAATGTACAGTTTCCACTTTATTATATGTATAGATAGATTTCAGACACAATGTAAATTGTTAATGAATAAATAAAAGAAATGATCTTTAGTTTCTCGTAAGAGGCTCCTATAGAAGCGTGTTCTGTCCCCCAGGCCCGCTAGAAGACGGCTCGTTCTCCCCCACGACGGTCCGTTCCATATACCGCAACCGCGCGCCGTGCGGCTGGGTGCGGGCGGGGCAGTGTGCCAGCGTGGGGCTGGCGGCGGGGGCGCGGCCCCGCCCTGGCATGGTACTGCTGGCCCCGCCGCGGAGGGCTCCCAGGAGACCTGCCTTTGGGGCCTGCGCCCCTGGACACTGCAAGCAGGGCAACCAGGTGAGTTGGTCACACTCATATATGCATAACCTTACGCCTGTCTCCCATGGGGGCAGGCAAAGCCAACCGAACGTCAATTGGGATGACGACAGGGTATGAAAATTAAAAATCTAATTAGTCCGTAAGTTAGGTATTTAAAAAATATTAGACACGTATTTTTTTATTTTGTCGTACAATAAAACAATACTTAGATAAAACGAATCAAAGTTTAGGAGTGGGGGCTAAAACGTCACTTCTACGTATAAAATGTACATAAAAGTGACGTCACGCGACATTTCAAATCAATATATCGTGGAAAGTATTCGTTTCTGTAAGAAAATAAAAAATACGTGTGTAATGATTTAAAACAATCTACCAGACGGACATTAAAATAAAAATTAGTCATTTACCCTATTGCTACGATTCTTACATACCTCTTTCGCTTCATCAACAGTCATCAGTCGTTACATGCATGCTCGTCTCGTTGGTGAAATAATCTTTTGTAATTGGCGCTATTGCATGTTTGCTCGCTAGATGTCGCTAGTATGAACCTGTCCCTCTTCGTCCAATAGGGAATTAGCTAATATCACATCATTGGACGTCCAATATTTGACAGCTGCTGTGATTGGACGAAAAAACTTTTGCTGCATTTGCGCAATCTATTGAGCAATAATACAGTAGCAACCATTGGGTAGTTTTCTCAGGCATAAATAAGTTGTATATCGACTTTGTAATCAATCAATCTAGTTTTCTATGGCATCGGGCATTTCTTTCTTTATTGAAACAAAGAGTTTCCTTTTTCTTGTATAGAAGCACTGTTTGTATGGATTGTCAGTATGCATATGTGAGCACCATGTTAGACTTAAGATTTTTATTTTTTGATTTTAGTAAGTTTTGTAATTAGTACCTATAATGCGTCAAGCGTGTCTTTGCATTGTTCTCACATATACGTACAGTATTGGAATATGTATCAGAGACATTGTAGAACATACTTTTTTAAAAAAGAGTAACGAATGGATTCTTGCTCGTTCTGCTCCATTCGAATCTACATTTTGGAATGAGAACCTAGCTTCACTGACGGACGGACTGACAGACTATTATTTATTTTGTATTAGTTGACGTTTCAAAATTACCAAATTATAGTTTAATTGAAATAAATGCTTGGACTTGAATCATAGTAAAAATAATTATGTTTTTTTTCCTTTGTCACAGCTGAAGCAGCTTATAGAACAGAATCTATCGGACAAGACGAAGAATCGTAAAAACGTACGAAGGAAAAACAAGAATCTACTTCGAGACATTGAATCAGAAGATAATATATCGAAAGAGATTGTTATAGACAACAATATATTGTATGACGATGACGATGATGTCACGTACGATGACTGCGTATGCTCCGACAAAGTCCTGCTTGAAGATCCCAATGATCCGAGAGGATGCATCTATTTCCAGGTTAGTAACCCTCTACGGCAAGTACCAATGTGGCTTTTTCCGAGTCATATGTACTTTCTAAGATTATTTAGACACCACTGACAAACGGTGAAGGAAACCTGGGCTTATAATTTCTAATTATACGTTTGAAATCGCTATCCCGCATTGAGCAAGCGTGGTGGTTAATGCTCAAACCTTCTCCGTGTGAGAAGAGACCTTTGCTCAGCAGTGGCCACTTATATATAAAGCCAAAGTCAATACCATTTAGTTCATGAAATATCCACGCAATACGGATGCCAATGGGCGCTAGTGTTGCAACTCAAGTGTAGGTACTTGCCAACTAGTCAAATTCAATACTTTTTTCGAACTGTCAAAAACGACAGTTTTCTATGAATTTTGTACGAGATTGTGTATTGTGACGTCACGTTTTTTTGAAGTCAAACAGCATAGTTATTTCTTAAAAATATGCTGGAAATATACTAAAATGAATTCGGTCATAAGATCGATTAATGAAAGTGTGATTGTTTTGTAATATTATATTGCAACTAGCTTTTACCCGCGGCTTCGCTCGCGTCACAAAAGGATAAAAGTAGCCGATGTGTAAGTAGTAGTAGTAAGGATGAACAGTCGAAATAATTTGTTTTTGATTAAGGCAAGTAAGTACCCAACTAAAAGCTTTACATAGAGAGGAGTGGAAGGAGGGTAGGGAGGCCTTTGCCCTGCAGTGGGACGATCATGGCTGAAAATAAATAAATAAGTACCTAACTGGATTCAAGATTAAGCTCCCAGGTTTAGCTTGTTCACGCTAAGTAAATCTTAATAAAGAGTTGGTTTAGAAGTGGTTGCGGAAGCCGGCCATTAGACTCTTAAAACACATTAATGAATTATAACTTTTGAGGAGGTTGGCAGAATCGTAACTATCAATATACTATGTATAATTATATTACGTCTAAGTAGTACATGTAATATATTTGTGTAAGTTTATTGTTATGACATATACATGTAAGTTTATATAGGGATTTATTTTATGTAAGTCTATACTATCCATTTTTCTGTATTTCTGTTTAGTCCTCAATACGCTTGCTTCTTGCATCGACCATTGTTTTTGTCTCTGCATCACCCAAAGGTCTGGCTGGAGGAGAATGCCCTAGGCATTAAGCCCACCTTGTACATTAGTGTGTGCATTTTTTTTTTTTTTTATGGAATATATAAGCCGGTAAACGAGCAGACGGATCACCTGATGGTAAGCAATCGGCGTCGCCCATGGACACCTAGAACACCAGAGGCGTTACAAGTGCGTCACCGGCTTTTTGGGGATTAGGAGTTTGAGGATCGTTGGGGATTCAGGGATTGGGGAGATTGGGGAAGGGGAAGGTAATTGGGCCTCCGGTAACCTCACTCACACGACGAAACACAACGCAAGCGTTGCTTCACGTCGGTTTTCTGTGAGGCCGTGGTATCACTCCGGTCGAGCCGGCCCATTCGTGCCGAAGCATGGCTCTCCCACACTTAAGTCTTTTAAAATAAAATAAAAAATAATTTCCTATAATACTTGTTCCAGGCGTCAGTGCACGTACTGCGTCACTCCACCGTGATATACCCCGGCTTCCAGTGCACTGTACATGTCGGGAACGTCAGGCAGACGGCTATCATAGAGGTACATATAAACACAATTATATTCAGCCTAACTTGTTATTCAAGTTTATTTGTTATTCACAAGTTATGGGGCAAATACAGAATTGCTGCCGAGCGACGTGTACCGGGTCCGATTCCTGCGCGGAGCAACTCTTTCTGTGATCCTCAGATTGTTGTGCCGTCTGTGTGTCATGTGTATGTGAACTTGTATGTTTGTAAACGTACCCACGACACAGGAGAAATTCCTAGTGTGGGGCAATGTATAAAAAAAATTAACATAACATAACATTACGCCTTCTATCCCTAGGGCTAGACAGAGGTGCACATTACGGCACTTAATGCCACTGTACAATGTAGCACCTACTTTTCACTATTTATGTTATGAGTCCCATGTAATAGGGGGTGAGCCTATTGCCATATACCGGGCACAGTTCCAGACTCCGTGCTTCTACTGAGATTTTTTAAAAACCCAGTAATACGTTGCTCGACCCGGGAATCCAACCCGAGATCCCTTGCCTCCCGGCAGTCGCAATCGCGACCACTCGGCCAACGAGGCAGTCATAATAATTACTATATAGAGGTGCTCGACTCCACCTGTAACTCTATGCACCTATATTAACAAATAAAAGTGGATCGATTTTGATTTAACTCATATACATGGCCATAACCATGTTTAATATGTTAGCGAAAGGGGCTCATAATAGGGATGATGACAGAGTATGAAAATAAAAAATCTATTTAGTTCGTAAGTTAGGTAATGAAAAAATATTAGACACGTATTTTTTTATTTTGTTGTAGAATGAAATGATACTTAGATAAAACGAATCAAAGTTGAGGAGTGTGGGCTAAAACGTCATTTCTTCGTATAAAATGTACATAGAAGTGACGTCAGGCGACATTTCAAATCGATATATCTTCGAAACTATTCGTTTCCGTAAAAAAATACGTGTGTAATGTTTTTAAATAATCTACCAGACGGACATTACAATATCCCCAATCTAAGCCCCCCGTCCCCCCCGCAGGGTATAATGTCCCTGCACGCAGTGCTCCGCGCGGACGAGAGGGCGTCCGTACTGTTTCGGTTCGTGCGCTGTCCGGAGTACTTGGTCAAAGGACGACGACTGCTGTTCACGGCTGGACTGGGGACCAGGTCGGTACATCTTACATTTTGTTTACATTATATCTATCTTTTTTTTGTGGCATAAGCCGGTAAACGAGCAGACGGATCACCTGATGGTAAGCAATCGGCGTCGCCCATGGACACCTGGAACACCAGAGGCGTTACAAGTGCGTTACCGGCCTTTTGGAATTAGGAATTTGAGGATCGTTGGGGATTCAGGGATTGGGGAAAGGGAGGGAGGGGGGTAATTGGGCATTGTGGATATGATACTAGTTTTTATTATATAGAAGTTTATTGTGCAATTGATCCACGAAATCCCTTGTTGTTCCCCCCTCCCCCTCTCCCCTGCCCCCCTCTGACCTCTCTCTGAGACCTAAAATATTCTAATTTTTGTATTTTTTTTTGTTACAGAGGCATCGGCCGCATCACTCAAGTATTTCCCTACGTACCTTGAACACAACCGCACCAAATTCGGTCAAGCAATTTCGTATAATGCGACTTTATAATAAACTAACAGATCTGTTGTCTCGCTCTTACGTAGTGGCATTCTCATGAGGTAGAAAGGGATGGAAGATGTTTTTTGGATTTAATAGTAATATTAGACATGCTTTGTTTAGCAGTACTTTTTCAAATTTGAAAGTTTAATTTTCGTAATTGACGCTTATCTAATTCTTTAAGAAAGTAGTGTAAAAGATTAGGTCTCGAGTTCGAATTCCGTGTCGGGTGTTGATTGAGACGGTCTGGTGTTGTGCTGGACTATGACACGACTGTACTCAGCTGAATGAATTGAATTCAATTATTGTTATACTCATATTTATTACTAAAATATAATAATGTAAACAATGCAATAGGCGTCAGAATTAAATTTAAACCTCAACAGCGAGTGATAGTCTAGTGCTGCACTATGAGTCTCCTATACATAAGAGGGTTTGTCATAATCTCCGCAGGCAGGCGGGTTGGAGATCGCAGTATAAAATGTTCAGGTTTATCAGAGAGCGCTGCTGCGCGGTCTCTGGCCTAGTCTCTTGGTCGGGTATACGACACCCGCGGGAAGAGTAGCGGTGGTCGACTAATTTCTACTCTGTCGTCTCTAGTTGTCAATAATTACAATTCTAGTCGTTACAGCGAATGGTTAAATAACTTTTGCTTTTTGGTCTAAATTAGATGTTATATTGTATATTTGCATCTCTGTCTACCCCCTCTGGGATTCCAAGGTGTGTTTTTATGTTATGTACTCTTATATGATAGGTCTTGAATCGGCTATGCCCGCGTAGAATAGTGACTTTGAACACAGGTTACAGCTCCTCTCCCCTAGATGATAGCGTGATGATATATAGCCTATATGTTGACCCGACCTGTTAGTAATATTCATGCAAAATTTGAAGTAAATCCATGCAGTTTTTTTGGAGTTTAGCCCGGACATACATACAGACAAACAGACAAAAATTCGATGAACTATATTTTTGGCTTCGATACCGATTGTAGATCACGAGTATTCTTTTAAAAATATTAAATGCACTATTTTGACTTTCGTACGATTTTATTATAATATACTAGCGACCCGCCTCGGCTTCGCACGGGTGCAATATGCATGATATAAACCTTCCTTAAGAATCACTCTATCTATTAAAAAAAACCGCATCAAAATCCGTTGCGTAGTTTTAAAGATCTAAGCATACATACGGACATACAGCGAAAGCGACTTTGTTTTATACTATGTATTGATTGATATGTACCTATAGATAAATATATCATTATTCAATTTTAAAAACTGCCTCGTTGGCCGAGTGGTCGCAAGTGCGACTGCCGGGCAAGGGGTCTCGGGTTCGATTCCCGGGTCGCGCAAAGTATTATTGGGCTTTTTTCAAAAAATCTCAGTAGTAGCACGGAGTCTGGAATTGTGCCCGGTATATGGCAGTAGACTCACCCCCTATTACATGGGACTCATAACATAAATAGTGAAAAGTGGGTGTTATATTGTACATGTGGACCTCTGTCGACCCTTTTTACTTAGATAGTATAAAATTTAACTTCACTCCTTTTGATTTTGCACAAAATATCTAACACTTTCTACTCCTGCGTTTCTCCCGCTCTGTTTAGCACTCTTGCAGAATTTTGCTCTTTTATATTACCGGAGGTCCAAGTACTACCCTCCCCCTCCATGATCTCCCCAATCCCTGAATCCTAAACAATTGTCAAATTCCAAGGGTCGGTAATACACTTGTAACGCCTCTGGTGTTCCGTGTGTCCATGGGCGACGCCGATTGCTTACCATCAGGTGATCCGTCTGCTCGTTTACCGGCTTATGCCATAAAAAATCGAAAGTATTTAAGTGACCTCTGTTGACCAAAAGCCTCTTCTCACACGGAGAAGGTTTGAGCATTAATCACCACGCTTGCTCAATGCGGGTTAGCGATTTTTTATATTAGAAATTATAAGCCCAGGTTTCCTCAAGATGTTTTCCTTCACCGTTTGTCAGTGTGTAGATAAATTAATATATAAATTATAATTCTTCATTTTACTATTTAAAATATCATTTTATTGATCTAACTGTGTTTTAGTAAATTATTGTATACAAATAAATAAATTCAATTATATATTATAAATGAATCTTTAATTATATGTATAGTCTTTATCACTGCTTTGTTAGTATGTCTAAGCGGGTTCGATTCCTTGGTTAGTTAAAAGTATAATTGTGATTTTTATTTTTTAATACTATGGTATCGGTTGTGTACGGTATTAGGGAGTGCCCCAATTAAATATGGGACGAATAATTAAACATGTTTTAAGTACATAATTCATGTAGTTCTTATTTCTTCTTGAATAGAGTTCAAATTCCTTTGAACGAGCAATATTAGTAAATTATTTAATATTAAATGTAATTTTAATAGCAATTTTTCAATCACTCTTTTTATAACTAACACTATATTATACCTTATAACAAGTGATTTAGAGTTCAAATTACAATGACACAGTAGCTTTGAATTGAAGTATTATAGTAGTTTTACATACTATTTTTTGTTGACATGCTATAATATACTTTAACTTTATTAATACAAAGATGAATTTGCCAAAATAACGGTTGAGTTAAAAAAACCTGATGATAAAATGTTCGCCTTATTGCAAATTCGACTTTAAATTAATACAGTTATGGTGTATTACAGAAAATGTTGTATTTTTTTGGTTTAATACGATTCACGAACTAAAATCTTCTTTGATTGTGATTTTTAAATAATTAAGTAATTAATTGTAACACAAAATGAATAATTGCACTCAAAATATAGACAAATAGATACATTATATACTTGTTTTATTTCTATAGCCCTTAAATCTTATATTCTAAGTGTGGGAGAACCATGCTTCGGCACGAATGGGCCGGCTCGACCGGAGTGATACCACGGCCGAGCAGAAAACCGACGTAGTTACTGGGGGCCCAACTACTAGTTTTTTTTTTAAAATCATCGAATGACTTCTCCCGCCTGTGTGAGGCGGGAGGGAGTGTCAGACTCTTACTGACTAAAATCCACCCCGTTCCTACTCCTGCCGTTCGAGCTGGAATCCCGGCAACCCGTTAGGTTCTCCGCGGCTCCGTATCGGCCCTATATAGGGCCCCATCCGTGGTGGTCTGATGGCTCTTTGCACGGTCGGGTCTGATTCTGGTCGGACAGGGAGCCACCCATGCTCGCCGTCCGCAGGCCCACGCTTACGGTGGCTGGAGATCGTCCCGCTATCCCCGTGGCCCGGAGTGTCCTTCGCGACGGCTAGATTTTGGCCTCAAGTGTTCCAGGTGTCCATGGGCGACGCCGATTGCTTACCATCAGGTGATCCGTCTGCTAGTTTAGTCTCTCTTAAAAAGGTAAATAAAACTCCGTACAATGTATGTCTTATTGAATTTATTATACAAAATGTCTTTGGTCTTTCAACCTTGAGAGAAAGGAGAATTGGCGTTTGTTCTCACGAAGAAGATTCCAGAAGATCTGTAACAAAAAATACAGTTTTAATGTTGTGTCGACACATCAGATGTCAAACAGCTCACGCACATAGACCATCTGTATTCTTGTGAGACATTGAGAATCGTATTCCTTTACTTATATTAGAAATAAAACTGACAACGTGGAATTTTTGGAAAGTACGAAATGTTTCTGTTCGACTGCACGGTTGGTGCGGTGGCTGGGCAACCGGCTGCCGTGCAACGTGTCGCGAGTTCGATTCCCGCACGGAACAACACTTTGTGCGATCCACAAATTGTTGTTTCGGGTCTGGGTGTCATGTGTATGTGAACTTGTATGTTTGTAAACGCACCCACGACACAGGAGATAATCCTAGTGTGGGGCAACGTTTTTTAAAACAAAAAAAAAAATTGTTTAAATCGGGCTAGTAGTTCCTGAGATAAGCGCGTTTAAACAAACAAACAAACAAACACTTCAGCTTTAAAAAAATATAAGATTTTCGGTTTGTCGAAAATTATTAGCACAGAATCTAGATTTGAACTCAGTATAAGGCAATAGGTTCACCCCTATTTGTTAACCCCACTTGGAACCTACCCTATCAATCTGATAATTGAACTTGACACCTCTCGATCTTTGCTATTATGTCGTAACGTTTCCAATCCAGGAATCGATCCCAAAACCCATTGCTCATTGCTAATGTTACAAGTAATATGTGCACCTCTGCCCACCCCCTTCTTATCTTCTACTTACCCAGTCTTAGCAGTAGGTCCTCCCATCCTTAGAGTGCCGGAGGCGTTACAGTTGCTGTTCAGCGCCGCGTTCAGATTCTCACAGCGTCGCCCCGTGAACCCTCCACGAGTTAATGATTCGCTCATGTAGAAGATACACCTGAAAATTATTTTGATTAACTGAAGAATTGACAATTTTTAGACAACAAGAAGAAGGCAAGAAGACAAGAAGTGAAGAGGCGGTGTTCGGTCAAAACCCGAACACCATTTACGTTCTCCGCGGCTCCGTAGCGTATCGGCATCAGCCCTATTGGGCCCTATCTGTGGTGGTCTGATGGCTCTTGGAGACGCGCCGTACGCTCGGGTTTGGTTCTGGTCGGGCGGCGAGCTACTCGTGCTTGCCGTCCGCAAGGTTGCCTTAGAGATAATACGGTATTGCCTGATGGTAAAGAATCGGCACCGCTCATGGACATCCGCAACACCGGAGAGTCAAGTTGCAAGTGCGTTACCGGTTTTTTAGGGGGTTTAGGGGGTAACTAGGTAGGGATCTGACAATTGGGTGGATTTGGTAATTGGTGGCTGATATTTTAAGTCTACTACAAAATCTTAGGACTATAGTTTAGCAAATGGGGATGATGACAGGGTATGAAAATTAAAAATATAATTAGTCCGTAACTTAGGTAATAAAAAAATATTAGACACGTATTTTTTTATTTTGTTGTATAATAAAACAATACTTCGATAAAACGAATCAAAGTTTAGGAGTGGGGGCTAAAACGTCATTTCTTAGTATAAAATGTACTGAGAAGTGACGTCACGCGACATTTCAAATCAATATATCTTCGAAACTATTCGTTTCCGTAAGAAAATAAAAAATACGTGTCTATTGTTTTTAAATAATCTACCAGACGGACATTAAAATAAAAATTAGTCGTCTACCCTATTTCTCTTAGTTCACACACACATGTTTTTGAGATCAGAGATTAGAGGATTGGGGGGATTCGGGGATCGAAAATTGTGCCCCCAGTAACCACACTCACACGGCGAAATGTAACGTTGTATCATGCCGGTTATCTGTGAAAGTGTGGTATCACTTGATCATTTTTAAAAGGCTAGGAGCGCACTTGAATCTCCTCGGTACGAATGCCTATGAGCGGCGATGATAACTTACCATCAGTTGATCCGTCTTTTCATTTGCCCCTATCACAAAAATACCACTTACCGATGATGATTACAATTCCGATCTCCACAGCCAGGCATCCAGGCTCCACCATTGGGGTAGAAGTCCACATCTCCAGCAGGGTTCACGATACCATACAGTCCAGCGTCAGTATGCATGACTTCTGTATAGACACCGTCAGTAGATCGGAAGGCCTGCGAGTGAGTTATCCAACCGGGAAGCGCTGGGTCTAATGCTGGAATGGTGATTTTAGGTATTTTTATACAAGGTGTTGTTTTAAAGCGTCATTTGCTAGAAGGTAACTCGGCTACCGACTCTGTGTCCGAATCAATAAAAAAAAATTGTAGGTAAATATTTTTCATTTTTCAGTAAATTACGGAAATCCGTAAGTGCGAACTACACGCCGCCGTCTTGTAAGTTGTAACTAGCTTTATAACGCGGCTCTACACACACAAACTCAAACACGTAATTGATATTATTCCTAATTCCATAAAACTCCAATAAGAAACATTGCCTTGACTTTATAGGACCCTTATTTGATACTGTCTTGATTGCAAGCCTAATATAATAGTCTTACCCTATTACATGGGTCTCATAACATAAATAGTGAAAATTTTGTATAACATTGTACAATGGGATTAAGTGCCGTAATGTGCACCTCTGCTTACGCCTATAAGTGTGGGAGAGCCATGCTTCCGCACGAATGGGCCGGCTCGACCAGAGTGATACCACGGCCTCACAGAAAACCGACGTGAAGCTTGCGTTGTGTTTCGTTCTGTGAGTGAGGTTACCGGCGGCCCAATTACCCTCCCCTTCCCCAATCTCCCCAATCCCTGAATCCCCAACGATCGTCAAACTCCTAACCCCCAAAAAGCGGGTAACGCACTTGTAACGCCTCTGGTGTTCCTGCTATCCATGGGCGATGCCGATTGCTTACCATCAGGTGATCCGTCTGCTCGTTTACCGGCTTATGCCATAAAAAAAGGCGTGATGTTCTGGAGTTTATAAAATAATTATGTTATATCATACAAACCAGTAATATAAGGCACTCTTCCACCGAGTTGTCTGCCAACGATGCCAGCCTGATGAGCTCCCAAACTGTGTCCGATTATATGGTAGTTGTTCAGATTGGCGCCGCTTGCAGAGTTCAACCAGTTTATATAGCGAGCTACGTGTTCTCCTGGATAGATAAAAATATGGTTATATGGTGACTGAGTGAGTATTACAGATACTTCACATTGCATATAACACCGATATATATTTTGCAAAATCCTTACTATATTCCTTACTATTAATAATAATTATTATCAATCAATACATAGTATAAAACAAAGTCGCTTTCGCTGTATGTCCGTATGTATGCTTAGATCTTTAAAACTACGCAACGGATTTTGATGCGGTTTTTTTTAATAGATAGAGTGATTCTTAAGGAAGGTTTGTATGTATATACATATTGCACCCGTGCGAAGCCGGGGCGGGTCGCTAGTTTAATATTATAAATCGGAAAGTGAGTTTGTTTGTTTGTTCCGCTTTCACGCCGTAATTACTAAACCGATTGCTTTGAACCGTAAAGTTTGAAGGCTGGATTAAATAATAGGGTACTTTTTATCCCGGAAAAAAAATTATATTCCCGAGGGAAAACAAAAGTATTGGTATAGATTAGGGCTTCCATCCCGGGAGTCTCGGTCTCGAAAATCCCGAGAGTCTCGACGATTTTTTCATGTTTTCGAGACTCGAGACCTCAGCTCCAATTTTCGAGAATTTCGAGACTTTCGAGAGTTAGTTAAATAATCTACAAAAAATACCAATCTACTAAAAAAATCTACTAAACTACCATTATTATTTTAATTAAGTGACGTGGCAACACTCATGACTTGCAAACGACTTTGCATGTAGAAAAAGCTCTCTTTGAGAACGGTGGTGACAGAGGTAAGCATTTAAATCAGTGCTATAATTATTTACTATCCATCCCCCCTACTAGTGTCGAAGCAGAGAGAGCTTTTTCAAATGCAGGGTACTTTTGTAACAAAATCAGATCCTCTTTATCTGAAAAGTCATTGAATGCCCTTTGCTTTCTGCGTGCATATTTTAAAAATGAAAAATGTTAATTTTATATAATACATTTGTTTTTTTTTTGTAATAGTTGATTAATAAAGTGCATAATTGAAACATATTGTTTTATTTGCCTAATTGTATAAACCTTGAGTATGAAACTTATTTAGTCTCGAAAGTCTCGTTTTTCCCGGGACTCCCGGGACCGGACCCAGTCTCGATTTTTTTTTCCCGGGACTCGAAAATGTATCGAGACTGGAAGCCTTAGTATAGATGGCGCTGTGTCTATTGATATATGTCACATAGGCTACTTTTTATCCTTTTGTGACGCGAGCGAAGCCGCGGGTAAAAGCTAGTAAAATATAAATAATATCTGGCGTGAATAAATGTTCAAATTTAGTAGTATAGTTTTTCGAAAACTATTTCTACTACAAAGTTTTATAATAAGTGCAATATGGCAATGTCATTCTACTACAGTTCCATTACGAGACCATTGGTCGATCAATGATCGACTATTATGAATTTTGCAGATTCGGAACTTTGAGTAAAATGACAATGCGATCGTGTTGGAATGACCACAATTCTAAAAATAACAGACTTGAGGCCCTTCTCTCTATCTCTTACGAAATAATTTGGTATATTATAACGTGAGTCTACAGAGTCTACATACCAGATCTAATAGTGTTAGTTTGTGCTGGTATATATTCTCCAGCTGCTCCGAAACTCCAGTCCACCATGATCACATTCACGTCTTGAGCCGTTAGGTACGCTGGAAAACAAAAACAAATATACTACTAAAAGACAAATCTACTCCACCTGGGAACAAAGTCAAAGTCAAAATCATTTATTTCAATTAGACCAGGAAGGCACTTTCGAACGTCAACAACATATATTTAGAAGTGAAGTGGGTGTTACATTACAGTGGCATTAAGTGCCGTAATGTGCACGTCTAAATCCCCCCCCTTCCCCAATCCCTGAATTCCCCACATTCCTCAAATTTCTAATCCCCAAAAGGACGGTAACGCACTTGTAAAGCCTCTGGTGTTGCGGTGGTGAATGGGCGACGTCGATTGCTTACCATCAGGTGATCCGTATGCTCGTTTACCGGCTTATACAAAAAAAAATCTTCAAACCTCCTAGCAGGAGTGATATTATTGCAAATTTTCTAATAAAATGGACCCGTCATGTCTGTTCACGATAACTTTTACAAGGAAGAGGTATTTATTTCACCAGTCTCAGTATTTCAGTGATCGCAAGTACGACTGCCGGGCAAGGGGTCTTGAGTTCTATTCCCGGGTCGGCTAGATTTTTTTAAATCTCATTATTAGCACGGAGTCTCGAATTGTGCTCGGTATACGGCAATAGGCTCACCCACTATTACATGGGACTCATAACGTAAATAGTGAGAAGTGGGTGTTACATTGTACAGTGGCATTAAGTGCCGTAATGTGCACCTCTGCCTACCTCTTCGGGGATAAAAGGAGTGATATTATGTATGTGCTAAGTAGATTTATGGTATCCGCAACGTCGTGAGGAGTGTATTTATTAAATATGTCGGAGAAAATGCACCCATTGGGGGTACTGCGTCATCAGATTCCAAGTTAGACATGGTGTAGGTAAGAAATTATAGTCTCAACACTAATTATAATTGTCTATTAACACATTCCCAATAATAAAGTAACAAAATATTAATTGATTAAAGCGATGGAAACAGATTAACTTCGGAAACGCGGTAAGTTCGGTACGGGCTGGCCGAACAACCGCTCACCCTCGTGTCCAACTCAAAAGTGACGCCTTTCAAATGCCAACATGCCACGCCGACGTACCGTACCGACCATCACCCAAGCACACTGCTTGACGTTTCCGACAAATGATAACAGATGGCGTTGTTCTAAAATAACGATACTCGATAGTTGTGCATCTTTGTTGATTCTGCGACAAATATATTATTTTACTCACCAGTGTTATATTAATAATGATAAACTTACCGCTAATAAGGTGTGTGTTAAAATCAGAAGTCGGTGTGTTTCTCCAGCCATGGATTAGGAACACCGTCTTCCTATTTCGATTGAAATGGGAGTTCCTTAGAGCGGCCTCAGCGCCTAGAGGGATTGGCTGGCTTACGGCTCGGTTCGATCTGGTGACCAATAAGAAATAAATATTTGAATGAAGTTTACACAGGTATAATGTCGTGGCCCAGAGGTTTAAGACGCCCGCTTCTCATGTATGAGGGTGTGGGTCCGAAACCTACCAACAGCAAGTACCAATGTGACTTTTTCCGAGTTATATGTACTTTCTAAGATTATCTAGACACCACTGATAAACGGTGAAGGAAAACATCGCGAGGAAACCTGGGCTTATAATTTCTAATTACAAGTTTGAAATTGTCAACCTGCATTGAGCAAGCGTGGTGATTGATGCTCAAACTTTCTCCGTGTAAGAAGAGGCCTTTGGTCAGCAGTGGGCATTTATAGGCTGTTGATGATGACTGAAAGATTGAGTAATTGACACAGTGGTTCGGATACCGGCTGCTGCGCAATGTCTCATAGGTTCAATTCCCGCACGGAGTAACTCTTTGTGTGATCCACAAATAGGTGTTCCGGTCTGCAAACAAAACCGTGGTTTTTTTAAAGAAAGAAAAAAATTCATTTGGATCTCCTCTGATGTTCTAGGTGGCCATAGGCGACGCCGATTGCTTACCATCAGGTGATCCGTCTGCTCGTTTACCGCGGTATCCCATCAAAAAACTATACCAGTATTTCCGAACCGATACGACCTCCAAACCTTCAAGAAAAGAGCGTATTCCTTTTTAAAACGCCGGCAACGCACCTGTGACTTCTCTGGTGTTGCGACTGTCCATGGGCGGCGCTGATCGCTTACCATCAGGTGATCCGTCTGCTCGTTTACCGCTGTATCCCATCAACAAACTATACCGACCTGGTGAAAAGGTGGTAATGATTATTCACATCAGGGTTGTATCTCGCAGCTGCTAACACGTCGCTGGTCTTCAGCCAAAGATCCACCAGTTCTGGACCTTCTGGTCCAGCCATATACTGGTATCGGGGTCCAGGGTCCATTTTTGATATCACATGGTCTGCTGGCAGAGCTGAGAAAAGAGCAAGAGTTTTTTTTTTAATTTTTCAGTAATAATCCCAAAAGGCCGGTAACGCACTTGTACGCCTCTGGTTTTTTTATGGGAAAAGCCGGTAAACAAGCAGACGGATCACCTGATGGTAAGCAATCGGTGTCGCCATGATGATGCCCATCTTAAACCTCCGGAACGCACGTCCATTTATGACTTCATAGATATTTTTTGAGGGGGGAAAATCATCCAATGACTTCTCCCTTCCTTGGGTTAGGCGAGAGGGAGTGTCAGACTCTTACTGACTAAACACCACCCCTTTCCGATTCCTGCTCTTCGAGCCAGAGCCCCGGCAACCCGTTAGGCCTTCCACTTCCTAGATCTTACATTGTAAAATAAACTTTAACTTAAAGATACAAGTAAGAAAATGTGTTACCCTTTGTGATAGCCAGGATGCTGATCAAAACTGCGAGTGACCGTAACATTTTGCACTAGAAATTGCTACTAAGTGGAGTTTCCTGCCTGAGTATTAGATTATATATACATGTATGATAAAGAATAGTCCTTGGGCTTCCTACAAACGAAAGGCAGCCAAGTTATTTCCCGGAGGATACGGTGGAGTATACGGTGGCGGTATGCCTTGCGTAGCCTGAGCACCACCGTGTTCTGGGGGATATAGTCGGCGACGGTGATCTCTCGCGTCCCGGTCTGGTTTAAGCCATGATGCGGAGCGATAGGGACTGGGATGCCGTCTCCAACTTTTGCGAAATGTCATGCTCGCTAAGAGCAGACGGATCACCTGATGGTGAGTGATCAGCGCCGCCCATGGACCACAACACCAGAGGAGACACAGGTGAGTTGCCCGCCTTTTAAAAAGTAATATGCTCTTTTCTAGAAGGTTTGAAAGTCGTATCAGTTCAGAAATACCGTCGACGACAGATCACTCCACAGTTTTGCTGTGCCAGGCAGAAAGCTATGAGCAAAGCGCACAGTTGTGGCCTGCCAACCATTTATATGGGTATGGATATGCTGTCGTGAGGGTCGATGGCGAAAAGACGCGGTAGGTATCAGATCCATAGGCGACGCCGATTGCTTATCATCAGGTGATGGGATTGGGATGCCGTCTCCTCCTTTTGCGAAGCAGTCATGCTAGCTAAGGAGGAGGCGGGACGCGTGAGGCAGCGAAGCGGTGCCTCCTCGCAACCCAGCCATCGCGAAGGACACACCGGGCGTCGGGGATCGCGGGACGATCTCCGGCCACCGTAAGCGCGGGCCTGCGGACGGCGAGCATGGGTGGCTCCCCGTCCGACCAGAAACAGACCCGAGCGTACGGCGCGTCGCGTTCCGCGCGCGCCTCAAAGAGCCATCAGACCACCACAGATGGGGCCCAATAGGGCCGATGCCGATTCGGAGTCGCGGAGAACCTAACGGGTAACCGGGGCTCCGGCTCGACGTGCAGGAGAAGGAACGGGGTGGTTTTTAGTCAGTAAGAGTCTGACACTCCCTCCCGCCTCACCCAGGCGGGGGCAGTCATTCGATGATTTTCCCCCCTTAAAAAAAAAAAAAAAA